TGTGTGTGTGTGTGTGTGTGTGTGTGTGTGTGTGTGTGTGTGTACGTACGCGCGCCTCCAGTGGGTAAGTGTACAGAAACAGTACGTGTGGCTGGACTTGTGGAGCTGGGTAGGAGATAAGTGGGGGAGCCATGTTACCTGTCCAGTGGCTGTGCCTTGGTGGCTCTGGAGCAGGAAGGAGCTCATTAGATAGCTTTTCAGGGTGGGGTTTTGGGAGGGATCTCTATTCTAGTACGCTTGCATCCCAGTTGGATTTTTTTTTTCTCCTCTCTTCTCCCTCCCCCCCCCCCCAAGCCATTCCCTAAGGATTTATCACATGGTGCCTTGAAACAAGAGGGAGTGAAACCAGAGCCACAGACTTTATTTACTTTCCTCAGATCCTTAATTGCAAGGGTTTCCTCCCCCTCACTTTTCCATCTACCTTCCAAATAGCACACCTAGAAGTCAGGCTGGTGATCCCTTATAGTCTGTCACAGTTTCAGGGTAACTGCACCTGTATCCACACCCCCCACTGTGCTCCACCCCAGGAGTGCCCAATCAGGTCTCCAGCTGTCACCTGTCTCTGGGCAAGGACTCTTGTCCCACTCCCTTTTCACTGGAGGTTTTAAGGCTGCACATGTCCTTGCCTTACACTGTGATATCCCCAGTAAACCAGTCTGCCTAACAGCCAGTGCCTGTGTTGCTTCCTCTCTGTGGGCTATGAACAGTGCATTGCCAGCAGTTATGAGTTACCACACAGCTCTTTCTAAGCAAGCACCTTTTTTAAGCTAAAAGCATTACAGAGCAAACCTATAAAAACAATAAATTCCTATTCACATGCTAAAAGCTTATCAGAGGTTACTCTGATCAGTCCTAGGGGGCCCTAATAGGCCAAAGTCTTTCCAACCTTCCACAAGGATTGGGGCTTCCCTCAGATATAAGGGAAGGATCCTGCTTGCAGGATCAGAAAGGAGGGCTGAGTTGGTTTAAACCCAGCTGTTTTATATCAAAAGTCCTTTCTTTGTCTGTTTGTCTCCCAGTTTGAACCAGTAAGTGTGCAAGCCTCCCCAGGGGTGGTATCTCTTTGCAGGTGTTTACAATCTAAGTCAGGGGTCGGCAACCTTTCAGAAGTGGTGTGCCGAGTTTTCATTTATTCACTCTAATTTAAGGTTTCACATGCCAGTAATACATTTTAATGTTTTTAGAAGGTCTTTCTATAAGTCTATAATATATAACTAAACTATTGTATGTAAGTAAATAAGGTTTTAAAAATGTTTAAGAAGCATCATTTAAAATTAAATTAAAATGCAGAGCCCCCTGGACCGGTGGCCAGGACCCAGGCAGTGTGAGTGCCACTGAAAATCAGCTCACGTGCCGCCTTTGGCACGCGTGCCACAGGTTGCCTACCCCTGACCGAAGTGATTTATCTTAATCACCCCCACTGTTTTTGGTTCCTCAAGGAGCTGTGATGACCTCCCACCAGAAGTTTCATATAATCCCTGGCCCACAGTGATATATAAACTCAAAACAATATGGTCCCCAAAGATATTGCATGTGGTTGCAATATCTATCACTCTGTTCCTGGCAGATTAAAACTGCCTTAACTGAGACCTTCTCACCAAGGAGCTGAGTATTACAACTGAAAGCCTGAGCTCTCTGGCATCACAGGGCCTTTGCCTTCAAAAGGTGTCTTTGCTACTAGTGGACATGCATACAGGAATGCCTCAGTGTTATTTTTTCTTGAGGGAGTTGTAGATGCATGGATGCCAAGGCAGTTACAATGAGGAGGACTTGTGACCATGCTAACCGAACACAAAAATAGCAGATCTTGTGGCCGTTCAGCCCTCCCCTAGTGGAGTTTGTGAATCCAGAGTTGGAGTTGATATGTGCTGCTGTGTACTATGGAACTAGATGAAGGATCAAAGCTGCAAAAATCTCTAAATTGTAGATGACTTGTTCTCCTTTCCCATACTTGGTAGAACCATGGGAGCAGTGCATTGTTAGGCATATCCATATTAAGAGGGCATGCAGATCGAATAGGGACAGTCATTGAAATTGTACCATGGTAAATTTAGAATTGGCCTCATTGACAAGAATTTAGCAAGATTCAAAGAGTGAAAGGACACTTATGGATAACAAGAATGTCCAGGATTATTGCAATAAATACTACATTTAAAATGAAGTTCTAGAAGAGATCAAACACCACACGCTTCAGGGCTCAAATCAATCTGTTACTATCTGGAGTTGGGAGGAGACTTCCTAAAGGGACAGGCTATCCCCTTGTTTGCCTACTAAGAAGTTTCTTGCACCTTCCTCTGAAGTATCTGGTGTGGGCTGCGGCTGGAAACAGGATACCATGTGAGAAGGTCTGATCCAGTATGACAATTCCATATATTCTGGTCTCCTAATTATCTGTGACTTCTGGAAGTATCAGCTGAAGAAATGTGTACTTCCTCTCCTTTCTGACAGTGTAAGACTCTGATTCATATGGAATAAGAATCTGATTTGTGACTGGCTAGAATGGATGATAGGTTCAGTCCTTTGGGCAAAAGTGAGATTCACAAATTGAGATGTTAGATGCCAGCCATCATGCCAGGAGCTAATGAGGCATTGCCAAGTGACCACTTTGAATTTTAGTTACTTTTGAAAACATTCAGTGGTTGAAGGCAACCTCCAAGAGGCCTCTAAGGTACCCTCATGACAGCAGTCTACAAGATGGAAAGGCCAGTCCCCACCTCATTGCAACATGCCCCTCAGTAGCCTTTCAGTGGGGAATGTCTTGTAGTTGGACACACCTTAAAGGTTTATTTTCTTGATCTGTGGGTTTTTTCATCAGTCCTCATCTGTGTTATGTGAAATGTTTTTTTTAATGTACTGTAGTTTCAAACTGAGTCAAGTTCTCTGCACCAAACTGCTGCTCTTTGTCCTTCCAAGGGATTGTTTTTAAATATCAAAAGGATACTTTACCAAAATGTGGCACTGAATGTTTTGCTCTATGGCCCAAAGAAAGTCTGTATTTCTAGTGTGCTTGCATTTCCTTCTAGAGCTCAGTTAGCGTGTTTATATTCAGTATGGTGTGGCTGTTTTGTGACATGTATTGTTTGAATTCCAAACTATTTAAATAAACTTTTCACTATGCAACCACAACTTCTGTCTTCTGTTAAGGTGAGTGGGTGCTTCAGAGCTAAAACTCGGACTTCAAGCTTTCAACAAAAAAATCTGAGCTGAACTGGTTTTTGAATAGCAAAGCAGAGAGGAATATTCATAGTGAACTTTGCAGCAGTGCCAGACTTCAGCAGTTGGCAACTAGGGATGTTCTCCTTACTTGTCTTAGCTGGCATAAGCAGGGCACTGCTATTGGGAAGCTCCCAATGCTTGGAGCTCCTCTGGTTTTGGGCACTGGTCAGATGCTTCTTTAAGAAGTTCATCGTTCTGTTTTAAGATGGTGCTGTAAGAGGACTTGTAGTTAGGTGTCTTACCTCTTTTGACAGTGACTTCTTACGACCTGGTGCAAGCAGGATATTCCTCAACTTTGAAGGATATGGGTGGATTAGTTTCTGAACTCTTGTGCTTAAGTTTGGTTGTTCCCCCACCCCTTAATACAATGGAGATTGCAATATAGTTCCCTCTCCAGCATGACTCCATTCCTCTGATCTCCAACAGACTGGTAAGCGGCTTGCCAAAACCATGCAATGTGGAGTCACTCTTGCCTATGTTTGGTCCAGCACAACACTCTGTTCCTTGAGTTGCAAATAAAGCT